CCGGGGTGATTCTTGCTTCGTGAAATGTTCAGAAACTGGTCCCAAAGTCTTTCCTCGGAAGCAGATGTTGAACCACCCCGTCCCTGGTGGTTCTGGCTTCGTGAACCGTTCAAAACCTGGTGCCAAAGCCTGTCTTCTTCCTCCGACGGTGAACCACCCCGTCCGGGGTGGTCCTTGCTTTGTGAACCTTTCAAAACCTGGTCCCAAAGTCTTTCCTCAGATGCAGATGTTGAACCACCATGTCCCTGGTGGTTCTGGCTTCGATAACCGTTCAACACCTGGTGCCAAAGTCTGTCTGCTTCCTTCGACGGTGAACCACCCCGTCCGGGGTAGTTCTTGCTACATGAAATGGTCAAAGACTGGTCCCAAAGTCTTTCCTCGGAAGCAAAGGTTGAACCACCCTGTCCGGGATCGTTCAACCTCTGTGAAATGTTCAAAGCCCGGTCCCAAAGTCTGTCTTCTTCCTCCAATGTTGAACCACCCTGTCCCTGGTGGTTCTGGCTTCGTGAACCGTTCAACACCTGGTGCCAAAGTCTGTCTTCTTCCTTCGACGGTGAACCACCCCGTCCGGGGTGATTCTTGCTTCGTGAAATGTTCAGAAACTGGTCCCAAAGTCTTTCCTCGGAAGCAGAGGTTGAACCACCCTGTCCGGGGTAGTTCTTGCTACGTGAAATGCTCAAAAACTGGTCCCAAAGTCTTTCCTCGGAAGCAGAGGTTGAACCACCGTGTCCGGGGTAGTTCTTTGTTTGTGATCCGTTCAAAACCTGGGCAAAAAGTCTGTCTTCTTCCTCCGACGGTGAACCACCTCGTCAGGGTTGGTCCTTGCTTTGTGAACCGTTCAAAACCTGGTCCCAAAGTCTTTCCTCAGATGCAGATGTTGAACCACCCAGTCCCTGGTGGTTCTGGCTTCGTGAACCGTTCAAAACCTGGTGCCAAAGTCTGTCTTCTTCCTTTGACGGTGAACCACCCTGTCCGGGGTGGTCCTTGCTTTGTGAACCATTCAAAACCTGGTCCCAAAGTCTGTCCTCAGATGCAGATGCTGAACCACCCTGTCCCTGTTGGTT